CTGGTGACCCGTTGACCCGATGACCCGGTGACCTGGTGACCCCGTGACCCGGAAACCCGGCGACCTGGTGACCCGGTGACCTTATGACCCAGTGACCTGGTGACCCAATGACCCAGCCAGTGACCAGGTGACCCAATGACCCAGTGACCCGGCCTGTGACCTGGTGACCCGGTGACACGGGTCATGACCTGGCGACCGTGACCCAATGACCCCATGACCCAGTGACCCGGGTCATGACCCGGTGACTCTGTGACCCAATGACCCGGCCGGTGAACCGATGACCCAGTGACCTGGAGACCCCGTGACCCAATGATCTGGCGCCCCTGTGACCCTGTGACCCGGTGACCCGGTGACCCAAGGACACGGTGACCCGGTGAACCGAGATCCGGTGACCTGGTGCCCCGGTGACCCCGTGACCCTGTGACCCAGTGAACCAGTGACCCCCGGTGACCCGGTGACCCGGTGACAGTGACCTGGTGACCAGGTGACTCAGGGACCCAATGACCCGGAGACCCGGTGACCGGTGACCCGGTGACCCGGTGACCCGGTGACCCGGTGACCCGATGACCCGGTGACCCGGTGACCGAATGTCCTGGTGACCCGGTGACTCGCGGTGACCCGGTGACCCGGTGATCCCCGGTGACCCGGAGACCCAGAAACCCAATGACCCGGTGACCCGGTGACCCCGTGACCCCGTGACCCCGTGACCCCGTGACCCCATGACCCGGCTGGTGACACGGTGACCCAAAAACCCCGTGACCCTGTGACCCGGTGATCCGGTGACCCTCGTGAAACCCCGTGACCGAGTGACCCGGTGACCCGGCTCGGTGAGGTGACCCAGTGACCTGGTGACCCCGCGACCTGGTGACCTGCATGACCCCGTGACCCGGTGACCCCTGGTGACCTGTTGACCCGGTGACCCTCGTGAAACCCCATGACCCGGTGACCCGGTGACCCGGTGACCCAATGATCGGGTGACCCAATGTCCCGGTGACATAGTGACCCATGACCCCGTGACCCGGTGACCCGGGAGGATCCCCGGTGACCCGGTGACCCGGTGACCCGGTGACCCGGTGACCTGGTGACCTGGTGACCCGGAGACCCAATGACGCGGTCGCCCGGTGACCCGGTGAAAGGTGACCCGGTGACGCGGTGACCCAGTGACCCGGGGACCCCGTGACCCAGTGACCCAGTGACCGGGTGACCCGGTGACCTGGTGACCCGGTGACCCAGTGACCCGGTGACCCGGTGACCCGGTGACCCCGTAGCGTGGGTGACCTGGTGACCCTTTGACCTGGTGTGCGGGTGACCTGATGACCCAGTGACCCGTTGACCCGGTGACCCAGTGACCCCGTGAGCCTCTCTGGGCTGGCAGCCTGGCCATGGCCTCTTTGGATGATTGAGACGCACGACAGCCCGGTACCCGTCGGGCAGTTGTTCAAACAGCATAATTAGGGTCCACAGTCCGCTTCATGAAGCTCTGCTGAGGATGAGGATGAGGTTGTTGATGATGATGGCGATGATGATGACTATGCTGATGGTGATGGTGATGATGATGATGACGATGATGATGATGATGATGATGATGATGATGATGATGATGATGATGATGATGATGATGATGATGATGTCATGGTGATGATGAAGATGATTATGATGATGATGCTGATGATGATGACGGTGATGGTGATGATGCTGATGATGACGATGATGATGCTGATGATAGTTATGATGATGCTGATGCTGATGATTATTATGGTGGTGATGATGATGGTGATGGTGATCATGATGGTCATGGTGATGATGATGACGATGCCGATGATGATGATGATGGTGATGCTGATGCTGATGATAACGATGATGATGATGACGATGATGATGATGACTATGATGATGATGAAGAAGATGATGATGATAATGATGATAAAGATGATGATGATGATGATGATGACGATAATGATGATGATGATGATGATGATGATGATGATGATGATGATGATGATGATGATGATGATATGATGATGATGATGATGATGATGATGATGATGATGATGATGATGATGATGATGATGATGATGATGATGATGATGATGATGATGATGATGATGATGATGATGATGATGATGATGATGATGATGATGATGATGATGATGATGATGATGATGATGATGATGATGATGATGATGATGATGATGATGATGATGATGATGATGATGATGATGGAAATGATGGAAATGATGGTGACCCGGTGATCCGGTGACCCGACCCGGCGACCCGGTGACCTGGTGATCCGGTGACCCGGGGACCCGGTTACCCGGTGACCCAATGACCCGGTGACCCGGTGATCTGGTGACCCGGTCGCCCGGTGACCCGGTGACCCACCGACCCGGTGCCCCGGTGACTCAGTGACCCGGTGACTCGGTGACCCAATGAGCCGGTGACCTGGTGACCCGGTGACCCGGTGACCCAGTGACCCGGTGACCCGGTGACCTGGTGACCCGGTTGACACGGTGACCCAGTGACCCGGCAATGTGGGTCAATTGATTCGGTGACCCGGTGACCCGGTGACAAGGCGGCGTAGGTCAGTTGACCAGGTGGACCGGGTGACCTGGCGATGTGGGTCAGTTGACCTGGTGACCCGGTGACCAGGCGGTGTGGGGTTGACCAAGTGCACGACCCGGTGACCCCGCCGCGTGGGTCAGGTGACTTGGTGACCCGGTGACCAGGCGGTGTGGGTCAGTTGACCCAGTGACCCAGTGACCCGGTGACCGGGCGGCGGGTCAATTGACCCGGTGACCCCGTGACCCGGCGGTATGGGTCAGTTGACCCCGTGACCCGGTGACCAGGTGACCTGGTGACACGGCGGTGTAGGTCAGTTGACCCGGTGACCCAGTGACCCGATGACCCGGCTGTGTGGGTCAGTTGACCCGGTGACCCGGTGACCAGGTGACCCGGCGGTGTGGGTCAGTTGACCCGGTGACCCGGTGACCCAATTTAAAAAGAAACCTCTGGTTCGGGGGCTTCCGGGGATCCCGAGCGGTGAGCGCGCGATGTGCAGGGGCCCCTTCATCGGGACGAGGGAAGGAGGAGCAGAACGCGGACGGAGGAGGAGCAAGCGAGCGAGGATGGAGGAGGGAGGGCGGAGGGATAAGGGAGGGGGGCGGGATCGGGGAGGGGGAGGGCGAAGGGAAGGAGGAGGAGGACGAGGAGGAGGGAGAAGGGAGGAGAGGAGGAGCATGGGGGGGGGGAGGAGGGAGGAGGGAGGAGGAGCATGGCCATGGCTAGCCAGCCCACGATCTGCCTGGCCAGAATCGGTGCAGGTTGACAGTTGGCGCCCCCTGGCCAGGGAAGACAGGGCCCGGGAGTACGACGATGACGAAGACGACGTCTGAGGGGGATCGGGTCTCGGGAGGAAAAAATCGGCAACCACATGCGAGCACTGCCTGCAGGTCCGACTTCTCACACGCGGCCTAGGGCTCAGACTTCGAGGGATGCATGCAGCCACGTGCACTCTGTCCCAGGGTCCCAGAGCTCCGGTGGTCAGAAAGTGGAAGAAAATCACGACGTCGGAGGTATGGGAACGAGGAGAAAGGTAATTCGGCGGTGGACAAACCTCCCTTAGTAAACCTCCCCTTCGTGAAAACCGCCTGGGACCGAAACCGACGGACCTGGACCCGCAAAAATGACGGCCGCGAGGCCCTCTCGCGAACCGAAAACGGCCAATTCCTTAATCGACGTGTCAGGGTAGGAGGTCTATCCACCTCCGAGTAATGGCCACGTGCGCCATCACTTCACCACTCGCTGAACGAAGTGGCGAGATCTAGAAAGCGTGGGAAGGGTGGCCCGAAAACGGAGCTGGAGCCGCCGGGCCTGGCGGCACTCCTGGCCAGCCAACCGGAGGCCTGCTCAGAGCTTTCGTCGAACTCGCCCGAGATCAAGCTGGCAACCCGCTTGTCTCGACGAGCGCGTTCCACTACTCGCAAAGTAACTACTCGCAAATGGTCTGGATCCCCTGCCAGGGATATACGATAAATTACGTCAAAGCAGAGACGTGTTTTTCGGAAGTTTGCGGGTAGGCAATTTGCGAGTAATGGAACGCGCTCGGTGATTGTCAGGAACTGAGAGCCGAAGGACTAGTCCCCAAGACAGAATGGCGACCGCGAATAACGGAGGTCGATTACGAGAGCTCCAAACAATACACCACCGCCAGCCCTGGCCAGGCCCATCCTGGGTCCTGGACTGGTTTGCCTGGCCTAGGCCTGGAGGTCTATCCACCAGTCCAGGGTCCAGGATGATGGCGGCGAGCCCGGGAGGGAAGTGAGAAGGAGAAGGCCTTCTCAGAAGGCTCGGAAATTCCCCGGCCTTCTGAGAAGTTGTCTAAGCCTTCCCCTAAGGCACAGAAAACCTCCCAGAAGGCCAGAGGGCTTCTGAGAAGCCCCGCCGCCGTCTAAGAGGGCCTTCTCCTTCTCACTTCTGCCCCTCGATCGCCGCCGAGGATGGGCCTGGCCAAGACTGGTGGTGTATTGTTGGCGCCCCTCCGATCGATGGCGATGCTTCACGAGACGAGGCCAGGAACGTCGGTCGGCCCCGTCCTCGAGCAGCATACCATAGCGGCAACAGCAGGGGAAGGCGGAGAGCAGGAGGGCGCAAGTCAAGGAGGCCCCCCTGTATACCCGGAATGGCCGTGGCGGGCCGCTGGCCAAGGTGAGCCGAGACACAGTCGACCCGTATCACAAGGACGCTGCTCGACAAGGATGCAAGGGCCTTGGAAGGCCATGTCGACACTATGCGAGCGGGGCGCGGCCGACGCATGTGGCCGAGGATGGACCTCGGAGGCAGGGATGCAAGGGCACCCTTGGGAAGGTTGCCCATCCTGACAATGCGGGTTGACTGCACCACGGGGCTGCTGACCAAGAGCCTCACTCTGGGCCCTCGCCTTGTGCTCCCGAGGCCCGCAGGAACAACCGCCGCCCAGCAGGAGGGGGGGGCGCACGGACGTCCTCCGCTTCTGCAGCCGGATCAGGCGCACGCCCGCGTCTGGCCTGTCGCAGAGGGCCCGGCACTGCCACCCGCTCCTCCCACCGGCAGAGCACGCCGCACCTCCTGCTCCGGCGGCAGCTGCGGCAGACGAGCGACGAAAATCAACGGGTCGTGCGCGCGAGGGCGAGGCGGCCGTGCGCGGCGGCTGACGCAGGCCGCCGGCGCGACACCTCACGGGAAGGAAGGAGAGCTCACGCGCGACCTCACGCGGGCAGCTTGCTGCGCGAGCGTCCGCGAAGTCGACCGCGCTTCTCTGCGGCGCCCAAGCGGATGTCCGAGAGCTGCCTCCTGTGAGAACGCCTCCCTGCCCCCCTCGAGGCACGACAAAGATCAGGACGGGAGGCGTTTCCATATCTATCGACCTCTTGGGGCCCCTACCAGGCCTCGGGACCGTCAAAAAGCGACTCGGCATGAAAAACCGGTCCCTGGGAGTTGGTCCAGATCTTTTCGGGTCGACGTCGCAGAAAAATCATGACGCCACCAAATTGCATGCCCGGTGCTCGTGGAGGATATCTGACGGCCGAGCGAGCAAGGGTGCCCAGGGAGAGCACAGCAGGTGGCGGTGCCCCACCAGCACCTGGAAAGGCTCCAAGAGCCGTAGCGCTACCATTCGAAGCATGCGAAGCCTGAAACAGTAGCTCGCAGACGTGGCGGGCCACACTGAGGCAGCCAGATCTGCTGGCAGAGCCCAGGCCACGACTTCTTTCCACCAGTTCAGGAGCAGACTGTCAATTGACAAAGCCGACCTTTCAACCAACGGTGGGCACCATAAGCCTACCACCACCAATGGAGGTACACCATATGTCCTCCACTCTTTGATTCCATTAGTTCAACACTCAGTGAACCTTTCTATTTGATACTTCAACCTATCTCCACTTCCCCTTTCCCCCTCCTTAGCAGTGGCGGCGGCAGCAGTCGTAATGGCGGCTACGGCTACGGCGACGGCAGCCGTACTGGCGTCCATGGCGCAGGTGATCGCGCTCCTGAAATCAAAGGTCGCGGCGGTGGCGGTGGGCACCGTCGCCGTTGACGCCGGCACGGTGCTGACGGGCTGAGCGCCGTCGTCGAGATAGTGGTGGCCGTGCGGGTGGTGGCACAGGCAGGCTGAAGCGGCGGCGGTGTTCCACCAACCGCACATGACAAGAAAGACGGCAAGACCACAACCTGTCTTGTCTCCCCTCTGGAAAGGAGGCGCGCAAGCAGGCCGGAAGAGAGCGGGGGGGACGATCCAAGCCGTGGCAGCCCGAAAGGCGATGCAGACAGAAATATCAAGGCCTGACAAATTCTGCCTTCCACGAGCACTGCACTACCACCCTATTTGTCAGCGGACCCCGAGCAGTGGGTCCTTGCACCCAATACGGTGCAATCTACGCGGTGCACTGAGCGCGGTGCAAGCCATGTGGTGCAGAATATTTGATGCACTGCGCGAGCTGCACAGTCTATGTAGCGCAGTCTAGGTTGTGCTCTACACCCGGTGCAAGCCAGGAGTGCAGCCTGTGTGGTGCAGTCTGCGGGGCGCAAGCCACGTGTACACTCTGAGACGCGGGCCCGCGCACGAGGCAGAGCTCAGTCCAGCAAGGAAGCCCCTGCACGCACGGGAAGCGCAAGGGGGAGCGACAGAGGGGGGGGCCAGCTCGCGGAGGGCAGCCCTGCCCTGGAATCGGCGACACGTCGCTGGCAGATCGGCGACAGGCCCCCGCCGGCGGAACCGCACGCTCCTGGGCAGGCTGACGTCGCCCAGGACCCGATCGGCGACGAACGGGCGATGTGGGGTCGATGCTTTCACCCCCCATGGGCCACTCCCCTCAGGTCGGGGATGGACAGACCTCCCTTTAGCAAA